GAAGAAATCGTCGGCTAAAGATCGTGAGCGCTCAAAAAACGCTTAAAATGTGCCGAAAATGTCTATTATTTCAGATCTGAAACTTCTTCCATACTTTTTAACGAGTTCGTTGCATTCCTAACGTCCGTGAGTTTAAAATGATGTAAAATTTAAGACATTTTGAGGAAATTTTAATTTTTTCAAAAAATCGACCCCCACCCTTAGAAAAATTTCGGTCAAAAATCAAAATTTTACATGCGTGTTTTTTGAGCTCAATCGATTCCTTTCGACGTAAGAAGGTCACCGATATGCATTTATAAAGCGTTGTGGGCAACAATAAGGAAGAAATCGGCGGCTAAAGATCGTGAGTGCTCAAAAAACGCCTAAAATGTGCCGAAAATGTCTGTTATTTCGGATCTGAAACTTCTAGCATGTTCTTCAATGAGTTAAATGCATTCCTCGCGTTCTTGAGCTGAAACTGATGCAAAATTTAAGACATTTTGAGAAAATTTTAATTTTTTCAAAAATCGACCCCCACCCTTAGAAAAATTTCGGTCAAAAATGAAAATTTCACATGCGTGTTTTTTGAGTTCAATCGATTCCTTTCGACGTAAGAAGGTCACAAATATGCATTTATAAACCGTTTGGGGCAACAGTAAGGCAGAAATCGTCGGTTAAAGATCGTGAACGCTCAAAAAACGCCTAAAATGTGCCGAAAATGTCCATTATTTCGGACCTGAAACTTCTACCATGTGTTTCAATGAGTTTCTTGCAGAAGTTGAGATCAGCAAAATTCAGCCACTGCAGGTTTTGATGATTGAACTACTTTATTGAACTAATAAAAGACTCCGTTTCTGTCGTCCTGCTGCTCGAAATGTGCTGATTTAGAAACAATTTATGGTCCTGTCGGATATGTGCTATTTACTCAAACTTTAATGTACATTTTTCTATAAATTTTGCGCGGTTTAAAGCGATTCTCAGGGGAGGATTTGTCTGCCAAACCGACACCAACAAACACCCTAAACCGACAAAAGCCCTTTTCCTAGTGCGGATTTGTGTGCTTTTGAAAATATCGTGTGCTCCTTAACATCGTTTAACATGAAAAACTAGATAATTTTAGGCCAAAATGCCCAACAACTTGACGAATTACAGATTACCTTTCGTCATTAGTTTAGTCGTCAGCTCAGATTGATAATCTGTAGAACTTAAATTAGGCTTTTTCGCAGATGAAACTAAAAAAATACACCGCATATTTACGCGCGCCGACTTTCGAATCGAAAAATTCGGCTTTGGGTCCTGTTCACGCGAGAACTTTGATAAATTTAGAGCAAATATGCAAACCAAATGATAAATCCCACATAAGCAGTCATGGAAAACGACAAATAACACGGCAAATGCGACCAAATCAATGATCGGATTAGGCGGGTCTGAGTCAGAAAGTATGCAGAAACTGATCCAAATATTCTGGATGCCGTCCAGAAATAAATCCGTTAAAACCGAGTGCTTGCAGTGCGGTGAAATCAAATTTCGAGTGGTGACCATTCAAACAAGTCGGCTCCTAATTCGGTCGCATTAGCTCTAAAGGTAAGTAAAAAGCAGCAAAAATATAACACTCAGAATGGCGAAACAGGATTTTCGGCTTTGTTTCGTGTCTCTGCTTGTTTTTGCAACTGTCCAATTATTCAACCAAACTTGATTTGCTTAACTTTGCGTCAACAGCAATTTGCTCCCGTTGCTCCAAAGGCTCGTGCCCAATCAAAGAAACCCAATTAATCGTTATTCGAATTTATAAAAAAAGTTAATTGAAACGCGAGGCTAAAAATAAATCCTGACTAGTCAATATGGTGTGATTTTTCTATTTTTTTAGGAAAATGCTCACCTACCTAAGAAACCCGATCACCCAGGGCAGGGAATGGTCGTTTTGGCCCGATGCGAAGTTTTACTACCACTACAAAATCTATCGACCCCTTAGCTTTTACGTGGATTGGCCATTCACAGCAAGGGAGAGATTTCCACAATATTGGCCCTCAAATAGATCCTACCGGTACTATTGGGATGATTTCCCATCTGAGGCGGCCTTCAGGGAAATTCGGGTATGTTTCCTGCACCAAACAACTGTTCAACTGCCGTTTTATCGGAAATATTTACTCATTTTTCGCTCACATTGCTCGTAGCTTAACCGCTCTTAAGTCAGGAAATTCCCTAAAAAACCAGTTTCGTGAAAAATAGGCCTCAAATATTAAAGGAAATCAGGGCAAATCTTAATATACTCTAAAATTTTCCCTTTTCGCCCCGGCGTGATTTTCCAGACACATTGACCTTTTTGTTCCTAATTTCTGACCCAGAAAGGCGGTTAAGCGCGACATAAATGGGCCAAAGTTCTAAAATATTTGCGCTGTTTTCGCAATTTACCAACCAGCTAAATTGTGCATTAATTGTGTTTTTTAGCTGAAAAATGATCTCTACTTCGACCGATAAACTCAACCAACAGACGAACATGTTCCAGCCAGAATACTGCACCGAAGAGTCCAGATTTTCAACAACTAACGTTTAATCATATTTCTGTTATTTTCATTATACAGTTTTTACTATTTATATAACAAAACTAATACAGCTGCACGCGGATTGGACTAGATTTTCTCAAATGCATGTACTTCGGTTGCGGTTATGGAAAAGTGATATTTACATGTTAGGTATAAGGAAAAATCATATATTTTTGTAAATATTTATGTACATATATATATATTTGAATCAACTGCAAGCCAAATAAAATGACTAAAGCACTTTTATAATTTTTTCATTGCGTCAAGCCTCCGGGATTACCAGATTTATGTCCGTTTGATTTTTAATTTTTATGAACAAACACGAGTTTGCAGCAAGTCATTTCTCTCCACTTTTCAGGTGTCGTTTCGGCAAAAATTCAATTAGTTTCTAATAATAGGTGTTTTTTTTTATTATTGTTATTTATTGTATTTTTGGATTTAGGTTTATATAATTAATCCAGGAGATTCCGAACATTCCGATCCTAAAATTGCGCATGGTTTTCTTGCTTTGGGCCTGCGGGAATTCGTCAAAATATCTGGAAATGCCGTTGGTGCGCCGTCGCGGTTTCCAGATTTGCATCCTGTCGATTTTTCGTTTTGACAGCCTTTCAAGGATTTTTTTGGACAAATCTACTAATGATGTTTGTGGAAATTCGTGAAAATACTTAGAAAATGTTTTGTTTGGTTCGCCTCCACGGGTTCCAGATTTGCGCCCTTTTGACTTTTAATGGAGCAAATAGAATTTTACCAGCATTTCAGTTGTTTTTTGCTAAACACATTTTGCTGTAGAAAAAGTCAGATTTCTGTAATTATTTTTTGCTAGAGATTCATTAATTTAAATTGTGTATATTTTCCTGACTGTATTTCAACTTAATTCAAAAGAAATCCCTGGGTTCCAGTCAATTTTATTGTCTACCATTTAAAATTTCACAAAAACATTTCGGTGTTTTTCTCCACCATCATCAGTTTGTCTTCACCACTTGAGTGGCTTGCCAAATGTGAAGACAAACTGATGATGGAGGAGAAAAACACCGATACGTTTTTTTGACATTTTAAATGGTAGACAATAAAATTGACTGGAACCTAGGAATTTCTTTTGAATTAATTTAAATGAAAAAGAGTTTAAAGAAATCGGATGCTTAAAATGGCAATAGATCCTAAAATCGTATTATTTTGCGCTGGTGGCAATTGGTCAAAACACTTTAGGGTTGAAATAAAATTGAATATAACATTTCTTCTTTAATAGGCCTCCACTATTTCCAGATTTTCGTCCTTTTGACTTTTCACTTTTATATATAAACGAGATATTTTGCTGTCAGATCAGGTTTTTTTGCGGACTGGAAATCTACATTTCTTTGTTGAAAGAGTCACATTTCTGATTTTGCGTCTTGCTCGATTTAATTAGTTTTATTGATTTGAATAAGCAATTAATTTGTTTAAAGAGAGTTGCAGAAATTGAATGTTGAAAATTCACCAGATCTTAATATCGCGTAGTATTTTGTATTTTGGGCTTCTGGGAATTCGCCAACTTACTTAGAATATTTTTGTTTGGTACGCCTCCGCGGTTTCCAGATTTGCGTCTCATTGATTTTTCATTTTAATGGGCAAACAGGATTTTTTCTTTGTAAACCACATTTTGCTGTAGGAAAAATCCGGTTTCTGGGCCTTTTGCTAGATTTTACTAGTTTCATTTATGTGTAGGTATTAGAAAAAGTGTGCGGATATTGAAACTTGTATATTCAATAAATCGTAAAACTCGTTATTTGAAAAGTTTAGAAAATTCGTCAAAATGCTTTGAAAATGTTGTTCTTCAAATATCTAATTCAACTTTGCAATTCGTTTGATGATTAAATCGATGTGTCAAATTCTTCGGATAAAACAGCGCTTTTTGACTTAACTTAGCTGCAAAAATGGCACTATCTTAAGTCTGTGTCTCATTTTTTAAGGACACTCTATAGTGAACATATACTCAGAAATTGAACTAATTTAGAGGTTAATTGACCAAAAAGCTACAAAAAATTTGGCTGATATTTTTTTTGAGAATTTGAATTACATTTTTGAAAAAAATGCAGTTTCGGATAAAACTCAATTCTGGACGATCGAAGATTAATTTGGGATAAAACTAAATAACGTTCTCGGCAAATTATTTAATGAAAATTCGATAAAAGTATGCCTAAGAACCTTTAAAAGGCTTTTAACTGGCCGATTAATCCGCTCTGGGAATCTCTGTAATGAAAGGCCCTTTCGGCCGACAACATAATAACAGGAAATGCCCAAATTCCTTGGAGATTTAACCAGTTTTCAGAGGTGGAACAGTTTAGGAAACATTTCGCAAACTGGCCTGCTTCAGCGTCGCAGACAAATCGAATTGTTTTTCAATTTATTTAATTTTTTACGGTCTTTTAATGGAAACTTGCAAGAAATGAGTTTGGCAGGCAAAACGCGAATTGCGTTAGCCCAAATGAATGTTTTCCACGTTAAACTTTGGCAAGATCGGCGGGTTTTTTATATCGCTCGCAGAAAAATAAATCATGAGCGAACAGATATTTTGGAAAGGACCATGTTTTCGGTGCCCACTTTTGCCCAGCGGCTGCTATTTTTTCCAGCCGTTCGCGTACTTCGTCCAAATAACAACGGGTCTATTTTCACATTCAGACAACAATGTTTATGTAACCCGTTTTCATTCACGTTGGCATTCGCTCAAAATTGTGAAAATTAAAATTGTTCTCTAACACCCTACATACAGCCAATTCCGAGCGAAATTAATTCAGTCCGCTTTGTGAAATTAAAACACTCCAAGTTCCTGTGCAGTGACAAAAAAAAAAAAAAAATGATCGTTCTCAATTACGATCGAACCTATGGGGCGAAGATGAACTATTCGAATGAACATCGCTATTATTTCGATAAGTTCTTGAGCTTGTATTGGCCCTTGCGGACCACTCGCTTCCCGTATTTGCCTTATGATCTTTTGGATTTGTGGCCCACCGAACACCATTTGAGAAAAATTCGAGTAAGTAGCTAAACGAGTTCATTCAGTCGCTTCAAAATCAGTTTTTCCAACCGGTGAAAAGCCAGGGTTTTTTTGTAACGCCGCCCATTGTTTTAGGTGAGAAACAACTTGTATGGGCTGTATTCACGGAACTGAAGATCTATGGGACCAGAACTAGCTTATTCTGGGGTTTTAAACCCTTACAACTGTTGATGTGAAACGAAATTTTTTTGTCGTTGTAAATTAACCAATGCAATGTATTTAATCGGAACAATAAATTAAGTTCTCTGTTAAAGGGGTTTGAAAACTTTGCAATTTTACACTTAATACTGCTTTGAAACTGGGTTTTTCTGAAAAATGGTGCCCCGAAAATCTCTCAAATTCTGTGCTCTTTCACTTTAAAATTCACATTAAGTTGATCTGCGTGAAACTGAATCTGAAAACATGTTCCACTTAATAAAGTTGACGCCGCAGTAAGTGAGATGAGCAAATCGAGAACGAGGGAAATTTGTAATTGGTTGCATATGCGTCGGATGAGGGCCAAACTATGCCCAACTCCACAACGCAAAGCACAACTTCGACATGATCCGTTATTTTTAGTGATTATCGATCGGGAAGTTCACCAAGAGTTTAGCACGTGTTGGGGATGAAACTAATTTGTTTAAACCCAGTGTTGTAACTATTGTGCAACTGTTAAAAGCAAACTGCTTTAGATAAGTTCTATATTGTTGAGGCGAATTCAATTTTTTACAAACTTCTTTTTGGGTATTTCGCCTCAAAAATTTTTGCCTTTAAAAAAGACAGAATTTCCTCACGTCTTTTATTACAGATTGATAAATAGTG